CATTGTTTACAACACACTTTAGGCTATTCTATTATTGGTTTATTTGCAATATTTTAAGAACATAACTAAACACTCACGTGCCATAATTGATAGTAGGCATATGTGGAAACCTGTAGTTTCCTGGTGTTTTTAGAAGAAAACATACTTAATTCGGCCTCTAGGGGAGTTTGACTTTGTTGTTATAATGTAGGTTTAAATACACCTGCAAAAACAGGACCTAATATGTATATTATGCCCGAAATAAAAAAGGCACAAACACATTTCTCTGTGTATTTTAGGTTTAGTTTAATGTCAGTTATGGATTTGTCCTCTATAACTGACAAATTACATTGTATTATAGGAAGAGATTGTGTGCCATTAATACTGGCAAATGATTACAGAACTCGATGAATTAAGAATCATGACCATTTTTATTAACCAACCATACTGTATAATACCCATTTACAGAGGCAATCAAACCACACGAACATGGAAAATAATAGGCTTATGTGTTGTGTTGTACTTATAGTAAAAACACACGCTGTCGTAAACTCAAGAAGCATTAATCACTACTTATACTTCACAATATAAAAAGTGCACAAGATAATTAATTAGATAAGTATTTGTAAGCCCTTACATATCAAGCATTCAACACAGGAAGGCATGGGCATGTATAATCATCAGTGTAAATAGTTTCCTCTGTGATCACGTCCCCTTTACCTTATTTATTGTTACTGTACAGCTTAGTAACATACTTAATTCCGATTGGTCAATTTGGATGTTCAGCGGTCTTCTCTTTCGATATAACAGACCATTGCTAAGGACGCTCTGAAGAAGAAAATGTTACCAGGCCTGAACAGTTACAAGGCAGAAAAACCTTGACAAGTGCTGCAGTCATTTTAAGTTATGTTGCTAATCACATAAAGTTATGTTTAAATCAATATGTTATGTCAAATTATTGATTGAATATGTAGCCATGTAATAAGAAGGATAATATGCAGCGAGCCGGTCATTTAGCGGTGATCCTTTTCACTTTAATGTAGGCTCGCTGCATATTATCCCTTACATACTATCCATGAACGGACATGGCTAGCTGCTCCCTGATAAATCAACATTTAGTTAAAGGAGCTTCATTGCCATGTTGTATTTCTGATAAAAAAAACACAGCTGATTGCAGGCACAATATTTTCTCTCATTTGATGATGAAATCCAAGGTTATAGACGAATCATTCCAATCTTCTTCATGTCGCTTCGCTTGGACTGAGCAGACCTGTGGTTATTAAACAAAGGATAGAAACAGTGTCACTCTGACATCAACTGAACAAATGACTTGTTTATTAAGTTAAAAAATTAGAATTTTGAAACACTGAGAATCAATAAAGGTACAAACCTGGAGCAAGGGGGCGCTTACATATCTGGTACTGTAGAGAGAATAAAAAACATGTCGAGAACAAAATCAACATTTGAACTGCTCTATTTCTGAAACAGCTGACAAATTCTGTACTTGTGACATCTCATCCAGAAAACTGATATAGTGGTTTACATTCCTAAATTGTTTTATTTATTGTCAAGTTATGGATCTTAGAGCATGGTTGGTAACAGTAATAGCAACACAGAAAGTAAAACTGATGTTTATTATATTTTATAATTTCGCTTTTATTTTAATTCTATTCAAAGCATTTAAATGGTATGTAGTGTGTGAGTGCAGCAAGAAGGGGCTATGGCTATCATTCTATTGTGCAACACTGTGTTGTAAAATGACAATTAAAATGATCCATGACAGGAAATGACATTATTGAGAAACAGGAAATGTGGGGCGAAGAGCATTGCGATGTTATGTTACAACTTAAACCACTACGTCATAGGACCAGATTTTTCAGGTAATTCTGCACTTTATTTTCTACTTTTAAGGTGATTGAAATGTTTATTTTCTTCCAGTACTAAGTACATATATTTTAAACTAAAACGTAGTGTTACTATATCCACTAGACAATGTATTTCTGTAAGTCTTACATTTCTTTTGTCAATGTTTATTTAAAAAAGGGCAAGTGTTAGGCTAATCCTGACTGTATAAAAGGCTTTAAAAACAACAAAAACATAAATAGATTATTAATGTATTCATTTCAACTGTACATTTCAACTAATGTTCAATAATGTGATTCTGGTTTTAAGTGGTTGTGGCTCACATAAATGTTGCGCTATGCTGTAATTCATTTAACAAAAAGTAATAAACATGGACCTATTGCATGAAATCAAACAACAAAAATATATTTAATACATTTCTGTATTTTTTCTGTAATTTACTCAATTTCTGCTCATATGAACCATCATTGCCTTAAATGATATACAAAATATATACATAAATAGGCCTTTTTTATTGTGTTACATAAAAGGTATTTTGTTTGTCTTTTATTATAATAAACTCCCTAGTATAGTTATGTAGTTGCTAATGTGTGAATCAGTAATTGTCTTTTTTCTTTAAATGATTGTACCCACTCTGTAAACCTAATACTGTATTAAATGGAGGTATATAGAGACTTACTCCAGGTGTATACCCTTGGGGATCCAAGATGAGTCACAACACAGGTGTACTTGTCGTTTTGTGATGGGGTGAAAGGCACATGCTTGGTTAGGTGGTAGTGCCAGTTCTCTTCGAAGGCCAGGTCAGTCTGTTTGGCTCCGAGGATCTCTTTTCCATTATTGAGCACTTTAATGGAGATTTCTGGTGGGTAGAAGCCCTTCACATGACAGATGAGGGTGTTGGGTTCCCCAATTATCCCTGGTTCTTTGCTGTACACCTGCACGTCAGGTGAAGCTACCAAAGAACAGAAAAACGTTCACACATATTCACACTGAAAAAACTGAAACGTTGACTTTAACGAACTGATTATGTCAACAAATGTCACATAACTATATTAGGTTAGTTGAAAGCAATGTTATTAAATTGAACCTCTTTAAACGTAATGTTATTTCTTTCAACTAACCTAATACAGTTAGGTGGATCTGTTGACAAATTACATTTAATTAAAGTCAATTAGTCAGTGCAGGAAAAAAGACAAAGCTGCCAAAGACTAATGAATATGTTAAGGTCTATTCAATACATTCAAGTTTCTGCCCCCTTCGCAATAGTATTACATTCAAATGATGTGCTGTAGTATAATCAATTATGATTTCATTAGTTTGAAACCATGTGTTGGTGTGGTAGGCTTTGTTTTTCGTCTGATCACTTAATCATTTAACATTACCTGGTAGGAGTGCCTTCGAAAAGATTATCCTGACCTTTAAACCCAATTACTCTGATATACTGCACTTCTCAAAGTTTTTACTTAACGTATGTATGAGAGCTTTTCCTTTGGCTCTTTTTTATCATTAAAGTAAATGAAGTAGGAAGTAAACAAAGCAGTTACATGTCATATATTGTGAGAGCCGATGTCCTTTGTCCTTCTGCCATTTCCGTGAAATAACACGGCGCCATTTATAGGCCATCCGTACATAAACAAGTATCCCCGTATCTTAAACTTACCATCTTTCGCTTTTGAAGGGAGGACAGAGAGCAGCCCGACGAGAACTGCGAGAAATATAATCATGATTTCACCTTCAGTTGGTTTCAGGAGGCCACTGAAGAGTTATTGTATATTTGTCCAAAATAACAACCCCTCTCGAGTCAAAATCGAAAGTAAAAATGTGTGTTGAGTTCGTCTCAAGAGTTGTTAAATCAAATGGTGGGGAGGCTCTGACTCCGCCCAGAAAACCAGCTTCGGCCATGGCTTCGGTACCTCGGTGAAAATATAAAAAAGCAGAACTCGTCCACCAATAGAATAATCGAGACGACGTATCACTAGGCAGAATTTACCACGACACGTTGATCTGTGGCGCAGTTTCATGAGTTTGACCAGGAAGTCATGTTTGTTTGTCTGCGTTATGCTAGAGCCTAATATGTCATAGTGTATTGTAGTTGATTAGTAATCATATATCTGTTATCCCTTAACAAGCATACAAATGATTTTATATATTGTCATAGTTGTCATTTAAAAAAAGAAGGATTCACAGCAGTCGAAATGGGGACTATCTTAAATTGTTTAAGGTTCATTTTATTCCAATATACAACAGAGTCTAGGCCTAGCGTGGCACAATTAAATGAAGTAAAAGCCCCTTCACATAGACAGTACATCCATTATTACAGTAAAATAGATAGGCCTACAAATAAAATATCTGGTTAACACTAATAAGCATTTTCTTACAAAGTATACCACAAAGTAAAACTATAGTAGCTTGTTATTATCTATGCTGTGATTTCACCTGATCAAAAAACGACATTCTTATTATTTATGTGAAAGGCCTTTCTCAAAGCACATATTGTGCTATAAACTAGCACAGGTGTAACTTATAAAAGCAGCTAAGTAGAATGTAACCATTACTTGTGTACACCTGAGAGAAAGGCCTATTGAGAAAGTAAGTTCACACACACATCATTAAGAAATATATTATTGTTTTTGGTCACCCGATATCTGTCACCTGTTGTTTTTTTTGTATAGGCCCTGCATTTTTCATTCTAAAATCTCTAATAAATTAATGTTCGATTGCACTATAGTTGCCCAGTGTCTTTATGTTAACTGAAACTGCCATCATGTAATAAATTATATATACAATTAATTGGCTTTCCCTTGTGATACAGATACTCACTTACTAGGTTAAGTAAAGTGTTTATTTGGATATTATAATACAATAACATGCAGCATATTCAAATGTATTTACTTATACAAACACATTTCTTTATGTGGAATACATTTTCACATTGACCATCGACAATGTGATCAGCAGAAACGGTCAAATGGAACCAAAACAGAAGGAAAATGATGGGTGCTGATTTAAATACCTATACATTTAGTTAATTAATTGTCACCCTGACAGCCCTGGTGTTTTCTACTTTATTAAGCCACAAAGATACCATGTCTACCAATATCCCTATGATAAAAGTATAAATTGAACAGGTTTGCATTTAAAAAAAAGAAGAAACCAAGGGGGTTTAAAGAGGCTTTTATTTAGAAGACGGCATTCAAAGAGACCTCAAATAAAAGAATAAACTGAATTCACACTTCTATCTGGTCTAGAAAAGAACACACCCCTTTATCATGTATCTCAACAATTAGTATTTGATGCCTCATTTAGGTGAAAAAAAAGGTTTAATTACAGCTTAACATTATTTGTACACAAACAAAATCACTCCAGTTTAATATTTTGCACATCTGAGTAGCAAAGGCTCGAAAATACGTGTACATCTAAGCAACACACTCCTAAATTACAAAGGAATAAATATGCCTTTTCTCACATTACAAAAGTAAGTGGAAATTCCCCTTGATGTGATATTTATGTTTTGTGACAAAAAAAAAGAGAAAGTCCGAAAAAACTGTTATTCAGCTGATTGGAGATGTGAAGAATAAATGCTGCTGTAGACAGGGCCAAACCATCCGGTTTTCTTTCTGGAAAGAGAAAATGACAACCCAGCGTTATACAGCAGAAAACAACAATCAAATGTAGCACTGCTGGCCGAGAAGCATGAATGTAGCTATAAAATAAAGCACTCACCAATCTGGGCCTTCGCTGACATTTACATATTAGGGTCTATCAGAAAAGAAAAGCACATACATAAGTTACAGTTTCAAATTACATTTCATTTAGATGATTATTTTAACCAAGGCCACTTACAATACATATGATCTACACTTAAAAGGCTTTGTATCATGTATTTTTGGACATGTATTTATATTTATTTATAAGTATATTTTACACACATTTTGGCTAATCCTTACTTACCCCAGGCATATTGTTTGGTGGTCGAACCATGAGTGACCTTGCAGCTGTACTTTTCTCCCTCCTTGGGAGTGAAGGGCACGCTCTTGGTCAGAAGGAAGCGCCAGTTCTTTTTGAAGGCCAGGTCAGTCTGCTCGGCGTTGCGGATTTCCTCATCATCTTTCATCAGCTGGATCATGATGTCAGGGGGGTGGAAGCCACTCACATGGCAGATCAGGGTGTTAACTGTCCCGAACTCTGCTGGGCCATGGCTATACACCATGACCTTGGGAGGAGCTAGAGGCAACAAAGAGACGGAAGTTAGGCCAAAAAAACTTCCATCTCAGTGAAAATGGCTACAAAAAATGACAATTGGGGAAATAACAAAATGTGTTTTCATCTGGAAGGTTTTTTTTATGTTGAAGGTAACAAAGGTCAGGTAAAAAAAGTTAAAACATACTTGAATTGTTATTTTCTAAAATATAATTGTATTGTTTATATATACATTTTTTGCAATGTATTTATCAAAGTCTAAAAGAAAGCAAAGTAGAAGATTCCCACCGATAACAAACATGGCTGTTCAACTGTCCAAACTGACGTAAGGTAAATTGTTTGCCAATAATAATTAAAAAAACTGAGAGGACTTCACTTAACCGATTTGAGTTACTGTGGTGCAGAAATGTTTTGAATTTAAAATATATATATTTGATTTTATTAAGCGTATATTGTATATTTGTAAAATGACAATAAAGTATCTATCTATATTGCATCACATCAAAAATGTAGATTGATGAGGAGGAAATAACAATTTAAAAAATGCTTCTGGTGGGACACTTGGGAGAATACAAAACAAGGGCACTCAAAAATTGGGAAAATAACAATGGAACTACTCACAACCATGATGAGGCTCATTAATTTACTGACTGAACAAAATAAAAATATCCTCCGTCAGTAAACACATGTTTGTATCAGTACTTTTCTCGTGGGAACTATCTTAGGTTTTAAAGATGATTTGGAAATTGACCCTCTGGAGTTTTGTTTGTAAATCCTATTCCCATATAAACCAGTGGAGGGCGCATTCACGGCCAGTTGGTATTACAGGAAATCGAAACTTAATTCAGATTGTTGAGGGGAATTCCACTGAAATAAAAACATGACGAACAATATTTCTCTTTTGCACTTGACTCTTACATTAGTGTCTGGAGGTTTATAACAAGTAGCTTTTTAAAGATATACACCTTACTATCTGTTTGTATTCTGTATATTACATTGTCCTGATTAGCTTTTAGCCTTTCAAGGATGACTTACTAGAGATACAGTTTATGGTATTTTACAGTAAAAGAACAAGGTTTAAGTTACTGCATCAAAACAAAAATACTTACTGTGATTGACGTCCTGTGCAAAGGTGACAGCTACCAGAGCGGCAAGGCAGAAAAGAAGCCTCATTTTTGCTTAATTCTCCTTTTGTAGTTTATAAACTGGAATAACACAGACAAGTGTGTCTGCTTTCTCCAAAGCACAGAACTAAAGTGAAAGTATAGAACATGGCATATTTATCAAGCGCTGTAAAACCGCCCAGCCCAGCATCACAGCCAATCGTTAAATTACATCGCCCTGTTGCCAGGTAAAATATAGTTGAACAGGTTTGGTCCTTTATGGATAGGAGAGTTTTGTGGAAAACTCCCTAAACATATCACCATCCTCGTATAAAAAAAAGAAAAACTGCTCCTTACTTTTGTTTTTTTTAAACAAGAATATATGTACTTTAGTCCTGTAACTTAAAGGAGAATTGAAGATTCAGATTCATAATACAAAAATAATCATAATATTAGTTATCATGCATTATTTTGTGTTGAAATAAACTTAGTGAAATCCAGAAATAACAAGGCAGTATTTAGTCTAAGAAAAAAGCTCCTCCTTTAACAGCACCACCATTGTAGTGATAAACACTGAATCAGCAATAATAATCTAATAATATATACAGTATTGTCGAAATGGACTGTTGTACAGAATTCTACTTTTACTTTTGGTACTTAAGGTACTTTTTGTTTCAAATACTTTTGTTCTTTAACCTCAGTAAGATTAAGTATTTCAGTGCTATAGTATTTCTACTTTTTCTAAGATCTAAGTGCTGAAATCAAGCTAGTTTTGTGGGGTCATGTGATCTTGTGTATGCCTCCCTAAATGAAGCATAACTCAAATCATCAGTACCCTGAGCCCTATAACTTAACCCACTCTCTTTAAACAACCTCTTTTTGAATAAGTGAAAGAAGTAGGGCTCTTTTTCTGAGCATTTTCAACTTGTTATTTCACGCGTTGTAATGTGTTTTTATGGTTTTGGTTTTCCCCTGCCACGTGAATTCTTCAATGACAGGTAATGACAAAAAAGAAACTGAAATTAAGCATTACAAAATATTTGGATATGAGTGCTTCTCTGAATCAAAATGTGTTTGTTTAAGATACACACCAATATCAAACCACAAGCAACTCAACATCTTAATTGTTAATAACAATACATAATCAGTAAAGGAGTTTTAATCTTTTCAAGTAAAAGTGCCTTGACGTTTTCTTGGGATTTTTGTAAAATGAAGCTTTGTTTTATTTTGTAAGGGTTATTTGACTCTCCATAATGTGTTAAGGTGCTAGTATTGCCATGTTTTTTTTATTGCAGAGGTTGTTGTATTTGGAACAAGGCCCTTATCTTATCTAAGTCACATCTCACCCTGCTGAGTGGTAAAGCCTGTTTGGAGTCACACTGTATTCCGTAAAACAATTAATAATCATTGACATTGACATTGAATGTAATGTAATGTGTTCTGTCTGTGTTGCCCAACCTCAAACTGTGTAATATTATCAACAATCCGCTTTACAGCATTGTTCATTGTAAATGTTCAATAAAGTTTGTTGAACAAAAAGCGCTTGACTTTTTTTACTCAGTTTGGTGACGTCACCCCGGCGCATGCTGTTTAACGCCAGTGTTTCCGTCTTCTCTTCTCCTGAAGCCACATCAACTACATTTATTTTTCTAGCTGAGAAAACATTAGGGTGATATCATGAGTACTGAAAAATACCCCAGGACGTCTATTGAAGACGACTTCAACTATGGCACGAATGTCGCAACAGCCAGTGTCCAGATACGGATGGGTAAGGGATTTAATGTTTGGGCCGTGGTGTTTACAGCACCTAGCCTCGCCAGCTAATGATAGCTTACACTACGTACTGTGGAAATATACAGTTCTTCTGTATTATAGCTATGGTAACAACCTTATATAACATCTGGATCCAAACAGTCTGCACGTTTTTAGCAAAAAAAACTCTGGTTATCTTCTTCACACTGAACATTTATATTTAATTTATATGCCATTCCTTGCACACTGAATGTAAATAATACCCTACTACTAGCTAGTCATTTTGCCCTTCATAGTGTTTATTTGTCAGTCAGTCTACAGATTTTTATTTTCCATGGTCAGCTTGTATATATTTGACATTTTAGTTCCGTTTTATTTTCTATTATCTACTCTTTATTTTAAAAATGATGTGCAATGCCTTTGTTTTAACATGCTTCTGTAATGAACAATGTTCCAAATATAATCTCTTTGTATAATGTTTGCTTATGATTAGCAAAACCATTACAGTGACTGTTGTTAGCATTAATCAACGTTTATCAAATCAAAGGTAATTGATATAGCCCACTATCAACACACGTTTGTCTCAGTGAACTTTGCATAAACAAACATCGTAAGCTATAACATTACAGGAAAATAAAAAAAGACAAGATGGAGTGTAAAATACAAATACAATTTATTAATAACAAAAGACAATAAAGACTATAAAATACCATTAAATGTAGGAACCAGGAGGATGAACATAGGGAATAATCTGAAATCAACTCTAACTAAAGGCTTTGTTAAAAAGGAAGATAAGTAGAATATAATGTTGTTGGCTTGAAGGAACCACACGTTACCAACATTGACATGACCACCTTCTTACAGGTCTAAAAACATATCCAGCTGTTAATAGTGGTTCACACCTGGTGGTATTTTCTCACACACAAGCAGTTGTTTCTGGTTTCAAATATTGAGTGTGGTTCTGTATTACTGCGTCTAACTTGCTGTGTTTGTTGATCAGACTTCCTGAGGAAGGTGTACACCCTGCTGAGTCTGCAGATCATCCTGACCACAGCCACCTCTGCCCTCTTCATGTTCTGTCAACCCATCAAGGACTTTGTCCACACCAGGTGAGGATGGTCTGTTATACGTCAAGATGAAAAATGATGGATTCATGGCCCATGAAAGATTAGGGAATGTGAAGCTGACAATTGAGCGGCCCGACCAAGCAAGGAGGCAGAGCGTCCAAAAATATAACCTGGTGTGGGCATTTATTAAACTCGATCCCAGGACACAGCCTCAATCTTGCTGTTTTTGTGAGCACAGTCACCAGCCACAAGGATCTCACACACACTACCTCCCCAAAACAGACAGGGCAACAGAGCCTAAATACACACATACTAATCAACAATTAGACACAGGTGGGGGGGGAAGACAACACAGGGCACCAGGTGAACACAATCACCCGTAACAGACATGGGGGAAGGGGAACACTTTTCAGAATAAAACCAGCAAACACACGACATACATTTCGCCACCAACGAAGCTACAGAATTCGTAACGGAGGCCGAGATCTATGGCCCCAGAGATCACCTCCGTTACAGGGAACCATGGGCTTTTCTTCCATGAATGTCTGTATCCGTATTGTATTTGCCACAAAAGTGAATATTTATTTGTTTGCTATATTTCACATAATCTTGGGAGAAAACTATTGTTATTATTGTTCTGGTGACAGTGAAAACTGGCAACAATGCACATTAGTTGCTAAGTAGGCTATTATACAACAATATTCAAGAGCAGACCTGGTACATGCTAAAGGTGAATTTAGCGCTGATCACAAAAAACATATTCCCTTAGTTACTGCCATTTATATCACACATGACTTGTGCTGTCCTGTCATCCCTTAACAGTAGGTTTAAATTCATAATGTTTATCTCGCAGTGTTTGCATGAAGCTTGTGTATTTCTGACTGTGACTTGGTTTCCTCCCCAGTCCTGCTGTGGTTCTGGTTTCGGCTCTGGGCTCTCTGGTTATACTGGTGGCCCTGGCCGTGTACAGACACAAACATCCAGTCAACCTCTACCTGCTGGCTGTGTTTGTAAGCCTTTTCTTTTTAATAAATTCCAGTCTTTAGTAGTTCATTGTTTTATTTCTGTACACTGTGTATACAACCCTATCATGTATTTAAACGTTTAGTTATAATAGATTAGCTGCTGATTGACATTAATCTTTACGGTAGCTTGTAATTATGGCTTTGGTTAGCTTGTGAGTTTCACCTATTGTGTCTTGTTTTCAGACTCTGCTGGAAGCTGTTTCTGTGGCCACAGCTGGTAAGTTTGATATTTATTTGATGATTCTGTCAGTTTCCATCTTTTTAGCCTGTTTTGAGATAGTTTGATAGCAGAGTTTTCTTCTCCACAGTGACCTTCTATGAATACTCCATTGTTCTGCAAGCCTTGTGCCTGACATGTGCCGTGTTTGCTGGACTGACCGTTTACACCTTCCAGTCCAAGAGAGACTTCAGCAAAATGGGCGCAGGGTGAGTCACGGCTGCTGCTCGGTTGTTTTAGCTTCAGTATCCCTCCTCAAGAGGGAGCCACCACCTGAGTTACAGTGTCTGATCTGTTCTCTTCCTTACAGACTGTTCGCCTGCCTGTGGATTCTTATCATTGCAAGCTTCATGAGGGTAAGTGACATCAATTTGTAATCTATTTAGTATTAAAACAATTAAAAAGGAGACAAAGAAGAAGCTTGCATTCAGAAAGAATAATGCACTGAGGGAGTTGTGAAGCAGTGGGCATGTTGCTAAAGTATAGTATGATCCAACAGAGGGAAATAAATAAGCAAGTAGAGAGAAAAAGCTTCCGAAAGAAACAGGAGAAAAATAGGAACAAATATAGATACACAGAAACTATAACAAAGGCCTATTTTAGTTTAGATTGACACCTCTTTGTGAATATGGAGATACAAATGAGCCTCAAAAACAGACACCAAATAGGATACACATTCAGTATTCTACATCTTGAATAAAAGATCCCAAATCAGCTGCTGTTAAAAAAATAAATAAAGGGTTGTTGTTTTAGTAGCACTTGGCCTCTGAAAAACCTCCTACTGCACTTGCACTGCTACTTTCACTACTGTTAATGCAACGTAATTTAATCTGCACACCTGACCTGAGCGCCACAACGTCGCCTCTTTCCCGCACATCCGCCACACACTACAGAGGAAGCTGACACCCTCTATTTGTCACAGTATTTACATTTAGCTATACTATGTCTCGTATCATGTTGACTAGAGCCAAACTGTGTCCACATGACCAATCTTTGCTACGTTTCAACAACATTGGAGTTTTTTGCATGGTTAGTCAGGCCTGATTAAGCCTTTACTTCATCAAAGTTTTCCGCTGGGTGTTTAGCTTAGAATCCCACCAACACTGCTTGGGTACTGTCTGCATTGGAAAACAAAAAGAGATTAGAACCATGACTTTGTCAACTTTGCTACCATATTTTATTAATTGTCCAGCCTAAGAGTGGAAGCTGTGGATCAGGGTAGTCCAAATACTTGGTCATATACTGAAGAACACTGTCCATCTTGCTCCCCCTCTTCATGCTGACTCTGTGCTCCCTGCAGTTCTTCTTCCACAGCGACAGCACAGAGCTGATCATGGCTGGAGCCGGCGCTCTGGTCTTCTGTGGCTTCATCATCTACGACACCCACATGCTGATGAAGCAGCTCTCCCCAGAGGAGCACATCCTGGCCTCCATCAACCTCTACCTGGACATCGTCAACCTGTTCCTGCACATCCTGCGTCTCCTGGATTCTATGAAGAAACACTGAAAAGTGCACTTTACCCAGCTCACTGGAAACCCACAGATATGCCTGTTATGTGATTGTGTTTATGTAACTTTCTCTCATTAAGTTGACCAAACATTTGATTTTAAAGAGGGAACCTGTCTGTGCTTGGTGAATTATTTGCAGGCGTCTGCATTACATACCTATATTTGTCTTACTATAGCTAATCGGGCTGTTTGTATTCAGTTAAGTAGATCTATATGAGTGAAGTTTTGTTCCGTCTGCAACCAAAATGTACACAAGGGAGCTTAAATCTGCATTACCTAATTTGATATAAAGCCCACTAGTACCCCCACCTGGCCTATTTGCAGCTCACTTAGAGTTTTAACACTATTCAATTCAGCAAGAGTTACTCAAACAGGAGGAAATATTACATTATTTAGCCACCATTTTCAGTGGCGGATTAATAGTTTAAGTACAATGCACCTATATTGCACAGAGAAAGCCAATGTTAGATTTATCTTTTTCATGGGGTTTGTTGATAATAGGATTAATATATTGTATCACCAGGCTTTTCTTTTGAAATATTGAGATATATATTATATACTATACTTGAATTGTGACACATATGCCCTGACCTGGAAAGGTTTTCTGCTGTAAGAACGGATCACAGTTGATAGAAAAATATGTTCTCATATGGGGCATTAGTGGACACCGTAACACATTTAGAGTGAATTTCTTTTCCATAAGTAGGTATTATAGTGGGGTTTTACGTCTATCATTACATATTTTCTCGAACTTAATTTACGACTATTTTATAATGTTGTTACATATTCAGTAAGAAGATGACACATTCTATATTCAGTTTACTAAAGTGCATTCCTGGGTTTATTAATTAATCTTTGTACATATTTAATATTGTAAATGTAACAGTGTACAGTTTAGTACTGTATTTAGTAAAGAGACAAATCTGAGATTTAGAGATTCTACACAATTCTGTTCCTCCATGTATTCTCCAGAATTGGGTAACAGATCAATATTATGAAGATAAACTGTTATATGAATGATGTTCCAAACTACAGTTGTGCATGTCTTGATTGAGATGTTATCACCTATTAGTTTTTTACTGGACTAACAGCAGATTTATGTCTTTCTGTCATGGTGTACTGGTTTAAAATGCATTACTGATCTCTTATTGCACTTTAACTGCTTAATACTCTGCTGTTAAGCATTCTTTATGGAGTTGTCACAGTGATGTGAAAATAAAGAGTGCCATATTTTCCAGACGGGAAAAGTATCCGAGCGGTGTTAAATAAATTGATTTGTTTCCATCTATTTTTGTATTTTGTCTTGAGTTCTGCTTGGCCATCTTTTAGCTATACATTCAAAGGGTGTCCTACCAAACAACAAAACAAATGATTGAATTATGACTTTAGTCACTTTTTTAAATCTTACCCTCTTTTTTAAAAATAATGTAGAGGATATACCAGCTGACTTAAGTGAAGTGAGGACACTTGCTGATCAATACCACAAAACCACATCCATGTCAAGGGCTAGCGCCTAACGGGGTATATCTTGTATTGTTGTCAAAGTAAAAACAATTGTATCTGGATGAGGCTGAATCTCTTATGATATTTGCAATAACAAACCTGAATGTATTATCCTTATGATAATTACAATGAATACTAATACCCCTGTACAGTATGTTGCACAGATCATTTTCACAGAACATCATTATATAGACGAAATGTACATTAATAAAGTAAAAAAGTTCAAAATGTACCCATTGAGATAAAACAAGACACACAATGTCAATAAAGACATATTAGGATAGAATATTCAAAGTATCAGAATAACTATTCGTCCCACAGAGGGGACATGTACAGTGTTACAGAAAGTAAAGAGCCGTAGCTTAATATTAATTAATATATATTAAAGGTAGAAGTAGAAGTTACACAATTTACAAAATACACATCCAAGTATTTATTGTATATAAAGGAAATATATGGTTTTATAGCTTTATACATTCCCCATAAATAACAATATAAACATAATTTATAAACAACATGCTGTTGAACGCAGCCTAGTTGGTGTACTACCACTTCACCCCTACGTCATTTCCTTTTGAAACCATCTCCGAGAGTTTTGTCCAAGATGGCGTCAACGCAGTTAACGGATGAGGAGCTTTTCTCCGAATTAAAGCACTTTGGATTCACTCCAGGACCGGTTACCGAAAACACTCGGCCGGTGTATCTGAAGAAATTGAAGAAGCTTCGCGACGAGCAACAGCAGCGGGGCTCCAGAGCCGGTAAAACTCGTAGCACCGGGGCCATTCACAGCCCCAGCGGCGGAGGCAACACGGCGGGACCCAGGCCAGCCAGCCATGACGTCACGCACCTGAGCTCCAGCAGGAGACCGGGCAGGAAGTCCTCCGTCCTGGGCTTCAGCTCCGACGAGTCTGACGCTGAAACTCCAGTCAATAGAAAAGGCCGACAGGCAGACAGGAGCCCCGGGTTCCCACAACATCCGAAGATAAGGCCGACAACACCGAGTGTAGCTAACAAGAGTCAGTATGGCGCTACGCTAAATAGCACAAATTCTTCCCCGGGTCCGGGCAGACAGAGGGGAGTCTCGCTGGGCTGGGGGGTCCGGGCCAGATCAAGCCCTGAGGCGGAAGGGAAGGATTACGACGAATCGGGGGACGAGGATGATTATGAGGGGGAAATAGAGAAAAACTCTCGCTCTTTAAATGGTTGTGGGGCGTCTCACTTAAACACTAGCAAGCTAGCTGGGGATTACTCAGACTCGGACGAGGAGGAGGTCCGGGGCCCTGGTGTCGGAGACCTGCAGCAGGAAAGGTTGGTGCCTAACGTGAGACGGAGTCACCCCAAAGCCGAGTTTGCTTTCCACGTAGTGGGCCGAGGGTCCCAGACGGGAGGGGCAGCCAGACAGGTTAACCCGCCTGAGGGTTTAAATATGGTCGGGAACCGGAGGGAGGAGGGGGAGGGAGGCAAAGGGAAGAGAAGGGATTCAGACACGCCGGGAGGCTTGAGGAGCCACACAGTTTCTCCCAGGAAGACCATATACGTGTCCCTCGCAGAGAACCATGGAGGAGAGGCCGGTAAAAACAACCACGTTGACGGGGAGGACGGAGCTTACAGAAGCAGTCGGTTCGCCATTGGATTGAGACCGCGCTTCTCCAACTACAGCAGTCTGTCCCAGACCTACAGGAGCAACCACTCCAACCACACTGCCCCCAACCACTCATACAGCCAGGCGGTGCTGAAGCAGAAGCTGTCTGTCCCGGAGGATGAGCTGCTCCAGCAGTTTAAGAGAGAGGAGGTCGCCTCCTCTGGAAGCTTTAGTGCTCACTACCTGTCCATGTTCCTGCTCACAGCAGCCTGCCTCTTCTTTCTGCTGCTGGGCCTCATGTACCTCAGGATGAGGGGCTCTGGGTCCTCGGAGGTGGATGAAGTCAGTAAGTATCTGACAAGATGAGCAATTTAAGCTTTTCCATTGTTTTTCCCCTGAGCATAAAGTATGTATGTAAACGGAGCAGCTAAATACACAGTACACAGCCATGTATTCAAGTTTAGTGGCACTTACAACAATGATCACATTGTATATCTGAAGAAATGCTAAATAAAACAGATGCATAATTGTCATAAACCTACTTTCAAGTCTAGTAGCATGCATATAAACTAGTTTCAGCACAGACAGGACAGAAATGTTTTCTGCTCCCACAGCTTGTTCCTAGAAAAGACCCCAGCCTCCAACATGATCACCTTTGACCTTACTCCCAGGTCTTGACTCGTGTAACCAGTGACAGTATTTTACTAGCAAACTTGAGGCAAACATAGATCAGTGCACAATCCTGGTTTGAATCTATTCTGCCCGCAGATGCAATCCCTCACTAGATTTGCTTCATAATTGTCAGAGCGAGATATCTGACAGGAACATTATCCATAACTCTTTAAGAAATGTTTGTCCAACTCTGTCCCCAAACTCACTGTAGACGGTGGTGTTTCTGTTGTGTTTGTAATCAAGCGGTGTACTATTTGACCATTTAAGTACCCACACTCACACCATCCTCCTTGATCTATGGATGAATAGAAATGTCTAGACTTTCCTGCACTTAAACAACTTAAAGAGTGAGTGCCCAGGAAGCCTGACAGTGTTAAGTGTTGACCAAATCTCCAATTCAACAAGTATACAAGGACTCTTAAACACACTAAGTGCAGACTTCCAGGGTGTCAGCTTAGTGTGCAAACTTCATCAGACTCTGTTCGGATAATTACCCATAATGCCAATCAATATCCACAATGAATAGAAACCAAATAAAATGTTAACCAATGCTCCCATGGCTTACAAGCCTTTCTGCCAGTTTCCTCACAATATTCCTTTGTTTTAGTCCAAATACAAACCGAACACTTTTAATGTATTAATCATTTGGTTCTATTTGCAGGATATAAACAAACATATTATCATATATCATGTTTTCTTTAATATTGGGTAGGAACATCATGTATAGATAGATACTAGTGGTTCATTTGACATTTCAACAAAGTGCGCTTAAAAATAAATATAAAAAATGTTTTAGCTTTAATAAAAGTTCCCTCTTCCACATACAGTATGATTCAGCAGTGAATGAATGGTGATGAGTGATTATGATCAGGGACTCTGTGTGGAGGTGCGAGAGGGGGGCGGAGGTCGAGGATCTCATTATTTGACCTTAAGGGATACACGCTGTGGCCCTAAAGCAACTGCTCCATTATCTGTATCAAAAGCACACATTGATGCAACCAAATGTCACAATAAAAATAGAAAGTACTACAAATAAACAAAAATTCATTTACATCTTAAATTATTAATATATATACACAAAAAAAGGTTTACAAATATCCAACCTTCGAATAGCTTTTTTAAATCAACACTGCTCTGCACACATGCTAAAGAACATTTGTGTGGAAATCTCAATTCATTTGTAGCGCTGCGTGAGCATGGCCTAAAGTATGTGAGTAAATCTCACTGCAAACTATTTAATCATCACCAAATGCTGTGTTATTATGACCGATCATAACTCAGCTTTATGCAGACATACATTTAGCATGGTGTACAGGACCGGTTTTTGGCATAGCGACATAGGCGGTCGCCTAGGGCGCCAGATCTGGGGGGCGCTGCGCTGGCAGCTCTGGGAGGAAAAAAAACATTTTTGACTGTTTGCGCTCATTCTAATTTTCAGCCTTGATGTAACAGCATTCATAATTAAGTAAATGTAACACCCTTTTCACCCCGGTTACACTTTTCATTTGCCCTGTACGATGGGCGCTGTAAGTGATGAAAGTGGTGGGTGTTGGCTTATCAGGCACTCACTGCCAAAGTGGGCGTGGGATCGAGCGAGAGAGATACCTGCAATATGTAAAGAAATATTTCCAAGGCACTCCTTTCTAATTATTGGCATAAACAGGTTTGAAATCATTGAAATGTACTAGAGGACAGTAAACCTCGTCTGGGGCAGCAAATTGGTTAGAACCGGCCCTGATGGTGTAGGAAACGGGCTCCGTGTTACAAGACGGGTCGGGGGTTTGGCGGGACCGCTACAGACTCTGCACACACACACACACACACACCGCTGCAGACTCTGCACACACACGTCACACACACCGCTACAGACTCTGCGCACACACACACCGTGGCAGACTCTGCACACACACCGCTGCAGACTCTGCGCACACACACACACACACACACCGCTGCAGACTCTGCACGAAGGAGCCGCGGTGCTGCAGCTCCTGATTGGAGCAGAGACACTAAGCGGAAAAACGATATCCTGTCACAGAGATCTGCTATTTTAAAGTAAAGTCAACACATATCGACCCTAAATAAAGTCTATATGAAGAACGAGAGATGTTTTAACATACGACTTAAACAAATGACAAATGAGCGAGGGTGATGACGTCAGAGCATCGTCCTATGTGCCGGGGCTGAGCCCAATTGAACCCCTGATTAGGATCAATGCAGTGCGGTAACACTGCTCCAAGGGCTGTCCTGGTGTGGTGAGCTTTCATGTACAGACACTGACTCACATGCTAAGTGATGTCTGAACTACACTCACATTCCACAGTCTCCAAACGTGTCGTCTTATTGTAAATCACCAAGTTTTTCTGTCTACTTGTGCCTTTTGAAATGTGCGCTGTGTTGGCTTTAAAGTGTGATTGTAGTGACCACGCTAACGTTTCCTTCTTCCTCTCTTTTATTGCAGTTAAGAGCCACCCTTTTGGCAGCGAGTTTGACGAGTTGTATGTAAGTATATTCTCGTGACACCCCCTGTTCTG